GTTCAGTCATTCTGATTTAAATGGGTTTGTTCGTTGAAAAATTGCTTAAAACTTGGTCTGAACTTTGTTGTGGTGCCTACAGAGTAAAAAGAATCAGCTTTATGACAGTAATGTGGCCTGGGGAAGGAGGTAATTTTGGGCTGTGACGTCACATATTTGAAAGTTTGTGTTTGGAATATGGGAAGCCTAAGATGTTTAATGAAAAATAAATGCCAGAACCGTGTTCCTGAACATCAAATCTATAAAGTCGGGCACAATTTAACTGGTTTTAACAACATTTTAGAAGGTGGGATAGTCCCTTTAAAAGAAAAAAACAGCTTATTAAATTCAGACTAACTTTATACTGGATATTGGATAAGTAAGGCCGATTCGCACTCCTCACGTATCGCTCGCCTGGCTCATCCAGAAAATTACACGGTAGAGCACGCAGAAAATAATACTTATCTCTGCGGTCAAAACAGGTATGTACCTACTTGTTGCGTCTCGAGTTTGCACCACGATCCGGCATCCGGGCATCGAAAGCATTCACTGCGAGCACCGCACGAGATGAGAGCAATTTCCTAATGAAGGCTGTGCGAGCGATATCACCGATACGACAAACTGTTATTTAGGGCCTTGGGACAGGGTTACGGACAAAAGTACGTATCGCTAAAGTACGTAGGACAAAAGTACGTAAGCAAAAGTGCGTAGGATTAAAGTACGTATCGCAGAAGTACGTACAGTATAAAGTACGTATGGACAAAAGTACGTCAGGGACAAAAGTACGTATCGCAGAAGTACGTACAATATAAAGTACGTATGGACAAAAGTACGTCAAGGACAAAAGTACGTATCGCAGAAGTACGTACAGTATAAAGTACGTATGGACAAAAGTACGTCAGGGACAAAAGTACGTATCGCAGAAGTACGTACTGTATAAAGTACGTATGGACAAAAGTACGTCAAGGACAAAAGTACGTATCGCAGAAGTACGTAGGGTATAAAGTACGTATGGACAAAAGTACGTCACGGAAAAAAGTACGTATAGCTAATGTACGTAGGGTAAAAAGTACGTATGGACAAAAGTACGTCACGGACAAAAGTACGTATCGCAGAAGTACGTAGGGTATAAAGTACGTATGGACAAAAGTACGTCACGTACAAAAGCCTACGTATAGCAAATGTACGTAGGGTATAAAGTAGGGTAGCCTTGGGCAAGACACCCCAGATAATTTATTTCGCTACATAGGTACCTTCTTTTGTCTCACATCACCTGGAAGGCCAAATTTGTGCTCAATGTGTTCTTTGGACATTTTACTTTAAATTCCATCCCTCAAATTCATTCACTTATGATCGGACTCCCAGCTAGGAAGTGCTTTGTGAAGCAACTGCAAATGGGGCATTTTGCCCCAGCCCCAGGGCAAAACGCCCCACGGCCTGAGGCAAGAAGCCCCATACACTAGATTAACCCTCGCGGGCCCGGGGGGGCGTTTTTCGCCCCCCCCCTCCTGGCGAATATTTGCGGTAGCTCCCGAACGCTTAGGGATAGGAAAGCGAAATTTTCAGTACCTTTCTTCCATCAATTTGGCATCTTCTGAAATAAAAAATTTGGAACTAGCCCCATTGATGACGTCACAAAGTCGACTTTTCTAGACCCCTGCACGGCAAACTTCGGTGTCACAGACGCGAACTTCAAATAGCTGCTAAAAATAGAGTTTTAAAGATAAAGACAAATTACGAGCACGGTTGTGTAGCACTTGACCTAGACAAAGATACAAAAACAGTTTTAGTGACCTGAGATCAGAGGTCAGGTCAACGACCCCGAGCTGTGGTTTTAGTTTTTCGCAAATAACTTCGACAAAAATGGTCCTAGAGCTACGGCAGTGGTACCATCGCATTTGTCTTGTCAAGCCGCGTCGAATGATATATATTTTGTTTCGAAAAGGAAAGTTCTATGTTGACCTCATGTGACCTCGAATGACCTTTGGTTGACCTTGACACATCAAAAGTCGTTTACGATGGATTCGTACCCGCTCATCACGAATCTGGCATCTACTTTCCTCTAAGCCTTTATTTAGAGCCTCCGGATGGCAAAATTGTCTTATTTTTTATTACTAACTTGAATCAGTGAAATAGTCTCTAGCAAGGCCTCTCTTCTGTGACCTTGACCTTTGAGCAGCCTTGTATCGTAAGATGAACCACAAATAGGGACCTGATTAGCCTCAAAACATTTCAAAACATCTTGGAAGCTGACACACAAGATGTACGAAAAAGTGTAAGTTTGAGGTCAGTTTTGAGCATGACCTTGACCTTGACCTTTGATGTTGAGTACATTTTCGGAATTCTCAGATTCTCTTCTTTCGTTTGACACCCAATTTTACCGGTTTTATGCATACTGCCGTCCTCTAGAACGCTCACTTTGAGATCACTACACATGTGCCGGTTTTTGCCTTTGACCTTGACCTCTGACCTTGAAAATTGACCTGAGGTCAAAAATTTTGGGTGCTTTAGAAGCGTCTCGTAAGGACCTTTCGTTTGGTATTACTTTTGTTTGCGTAGCTCTCTTATTTACAGAGTTAGAGAGGGGGCGAAAAACGCCCCTCCCCGGGCTGCGGTGGTTGGAATTACCCCCCGGGCCCGGCCAGGTTAACAGAAGAGAGGATCTTTCCCCAGAACCCTGCCAGTTCCGAGAAACATCGGTGAGGCGTTTTACCTCGGCGGGGAGACTTGCCCCGGTCTACCCTACGTGTGGACAAAAGTACGTCACGGACAAAAGTACGTATAGCAAATGTACGTAGGGTATTGTACGTACCCCACCCTTGGGTTAAGTTGATCAATGTGTAATACCTTTCTTATTCTTTATTTAATGAGCATTTGTTACAAGGCATAGCAAAATTTATCGATGAGTAAATGGGCGAAATGGACAAAGCTATATCATTTGGTATATGAATTTATCATGAGTTCCCTGTAGTATGGCAACAGAGCAGCAATAAAGAAAAAAGTGGCTCAACTTACACTACTATACCCTACTTCTAGCATACGTACTTTATACACTACGTACTTTGGCATACGAACCGTACGTACTTTTGGCATACGTACTTTTTACACTACGTACTTTTGCATACGAACTTTTGCGTACGAACATTTGCATACGTACTTTTGGTATACGTACTTTATACACTACGTACTTTTGCATACGTACTTTTGCGTACGAACATTTGCGTACGTACTTTTGGCATACGTACTTTATACACTACGTACTTTTGCATACGAACTTTTTCGTACGAACATTTGCGTACGTACTTTTTTCATACGTACATTTTACACTACGTACTTTTGCATACGTACTTTTGCGTACGAACATTTGCGTACGTACTTTTAGCATACGTACTTTATGCACTACGTACTTTTTCATACGTACTTTTGCGTACGAACATTTGCGTACGTACTTTTGACATACGTACTTTATGCACTACATACTTTTGCATACGTACTTTTGCGTACGAACATTTGCGTACGTACTTTTGGCATACGAACTTTATCGCCTACGTATATTTGCGTACGAACATTTGCATACGTACTTTTGTCCTACGTACTTTAGCGATACGTACTTTAGTCCTAAAATCCTTGGGACAAACTGTTGCTAATGTTGCTAAGGTACAGATGGTACAGATACATTTCTACTGTCCAGCTTAGGTCAAGGCTGATTCCAGTCCTAGATGTTGACCTAATCGTTAGCAAAAGAGGCAAGATTTTCTGTTCTTGTTGTTCTTCATTGACCAGTTTATGGACAATTGGTCATATTACATCGGAGCGAGTTCGTTTTCCAGGGTAACCTCTACCGTCTGGCGTTTTCGTGTCATCGCCTCCTTACAACGAATGAAGAACCCATGCCTCGCGACTCACGAGACCTTTTCGAATGGAGTAATGCATGTAGGTACCCAGTTTTATTTATGCTCATACCTATCACACGGCATTGTGACCGTGACGCTTGCACATTACGGACTCCACAAAAAAAATAACACTTGGAAAGTCAAACAAATTCACGCTTCTCACACGTGTCCTAATCTAGCCCTCACAGGCGCCGTCTCTTGCCTTCCCATCAAGAAATGCACACACAGTTTACAGCATGTCTACACTGTTGATGACTGTTGGTTGTTCTTTGATTGGTTGTTGAATGCTCGTACAGATATCATAGTGCTAGAAACACGTCGTTAGCGAGAATTAAAAACACGTCGATACCCACAGAGCGTTTTTCGTTTGAAACATATTCGTCACTTTTGTCGTAGAGGTAAACTGCCATTTGGGATGCCATATGAGGTGCTGATACAAAGGAAAATTTCAAAGATTCGCTTATGTAGGTATTTTTTTTTTTTTTTGAAGTTTCCAGTTAATGTACAAAACAAACCCGTCTGAATTGGTCGATATCTGAAAAAATGAAAAAAATCTCGCATTTTTTGTTTTTTTTTTTCTCTATGAAGTAAGATTTAACTGGTGGGCCATTTCCCTGTGACTGGTGGGCCAATTCTGAGCACTGGTGGGCCATTTGGCCCACCAGTTAACATGTTAGACGAGGCCCTGATTCATCTCTTCTTCTCGACCTCACTGTGCTGTGTATCTCAAGCGGAACGTTCCAGCGCCGCATTTGGTCAGTCGTCTTCTCCAACACCTTATTCGGTCGGAGAGGGAGAGCACTGGCTGACACACCGGCTGATCTGGTGCACTCGCACGAGCGGCTATCTGTAATCTCCCTCTAGCCACGCTGTCCTGTTCCTCTTCATCCCGGCGCCGCGCCTGTCCCCGGGGGCTTTAGCACCACTTCCAACCGTCCACCGTCCGCCTCCGCGCCCCTCCCCGGCCCGCAGCCGGTGCTCTGTGGGGAGACGAGATCGAGACGGGCGTGGGCGGGTCAGCGGGACTCGAGGCCGGCCGGCGGGGCGTGCACGGCTCCGATACCGGTCTCCAGTCGGAGTCAACAGGTCCAACTGTGCAGTGACGCCCCTCCCCGGCCGTGTCGGCAGGAACTGCAGCTGCAGAAGCGGCGCTGTGGCGGTTTCTCGCAACAAAGGACAGAGGCTGGGAGAGCCAGCCGTTCTGTGAACAACAGACGACGGAGAGGTGTCGGCAGCCCAGACCGGGAAACTGACCCAGGAGGCAGCTGAACAGTGGCCAGCCGTCGGCAGAGGACGCAGCCCAGCCATGGCTGACGTGGAACATCCCAGACGGATGAGCAAAGGTGAGCTGGGAGTGCTTTTAGACTGTCGACAGCTTTTGTTTGCTTAGACCGATGAGAAAGTAGCCCATTTATTTATATTTATCGCAGGAACAGATGAATAACCGCAATCATATCAAGTGCTCCGCAAATGCTGATGATTATCACTGTCTTGTATAAGAAAGATTAGATAAACATCCTCCTTTATCTGTTATTTTTAAAGATATGTTAGTGGTTCCCTTTGTTCAAAGGTTTGTTTAATGAGTATTCATCATGTTATCCAACCAATATGTAAAAATTATGCCCGACAATGCTGCCCACCTATGCATTCCCCGGACGGAAGGATCTTTTAACAGTTCTGGTTCGGCCCCTCCCGACAGAGCACATTCTGACCACGGACACGGACAGTTTCCAAGTGGGCGACCGTGTCTGGGTGGGCGGCACGGTTCCTGGCCGGATCGCCTACATCGGCCAGACCAAGCACGCCACGGAGGACGTGGCTGGCGTGGTGCTCGACAAGTCGGTCGGTGAGTGAGGCCGCCCGCAGAACTCAGAACGGGGCTCTCTGGTATATCGTCTGTTCTGTCCATTCACTCCGATAATAGCCGTGTCACCTCGCGACTCACAAATTTCTATACTGACTTTCCTGAGAATTGAGATAACTCCCGCACGTGCCTTTAGACTATTTTGATCTTTTTTCACGTACCCTTTACTTTTGTGCTTCCTTGCTTTACCTCCCTTTTCTTGCTTGAATTACTTGCTCCACATCAATCATATGTCTTTTCGGTAGCTAAGCTAGCACACATCAATTGTAATCCTGGACACTTGCATCACTTTCATTCATGTATTTTTCTCTTCTGGGATCGCTGCCACATGTCCCTTCGACCCCAAGGACCGGTGCCAAATGCCCCTCCCATCCCAGGGACCACCGACACACGCCCCTCCCACCCCAGGGACCGGCGTCATACGTCCCTCCCACCGCAGGGACCGTGCCCCGGGCCCCATCTGCACCCTGACCGCCTGCAGGCAGCTCCACTGCCCGTCATCTCGCCCCTCCTCGCTCCCATCTGTCTCCATGGCTCCGGTGGCCACACACTCCGGGAACAGAGCCACTAATTGCCGGTGCTGGTACTGGACATGCCATTACCGACCGACCGCCTGCAGCGAGAGACGCGCTCCGCACGCTGGCTCGTTTATTCGGAAGTTTCCTCACACGGCTGATCGAATGTTCTGACTTCTACATTTTGTTGGTGAGTTACGCGGAAGGTCAAAGGGTTTGCGAACATAATGCCACTGTATAGGTACTCGTACATGAGGTTATGTAGTTTCATCAGAGATCACTTGTAATTTCTTTGATATTTGAGTATCGATGAATGATCGAATTGACGCTCAAATATATGTACTTCTTGAAGGCTAAGAAAAACCGCATTTAATTGAATTCGACGTCATCATCTATGATATTGATTACATTTAAGATTTCACATTTATTTCTGCTTACCAGAATGAAAGCTTAATTTGCAGCAGTCTCCATAGTTTTGAAAAGTTTTATTAAGAGATGTTTTGCAATAAATGCGCTGGAATTTATTGCTTCACGGTTACACGGTTTATTACATTTTTGTTTACATGTGGTGGGCGGCTGGTTGGCAGGAAGATGATTGAAGGGGGTTGGCGGCTAATATCGCCCCGAGCTATTTTTCTACCACCCCATCGCTTTCCCGAACACCCTGAATCGGTCACTGTCGTTGCCATGCATGGGTCGATTCGATCAGCTGCTGGGGCCGACCTAGCAACAGAACACCAGGACTATAAGGGACTAGTGGTGCCAATTTCATGAAATTTCAATTCCAATTCCGATCCAATTCCAAGAAATTGCCAAGTAAATTTCCAATTTTGTCCAAAGCGGGGGCTATTCCAATTTTTAACGATTTTTGCATTTTTTGCGTAAATTTTAAAAGTGTTTAAAAGCGTTTTTAATGCCTCCGTTTTAAAATTTAAAATTTTAAAGGCCTTGTGTTCCGATTAATTTCCAAAAAATGTTAGGAATTCCGTCCAAATTCCAAATTGGAATTGGACAAAAATTGGAATTCCAAGAAAAGAAATTCCGATTGGCACCAATATAAGGGACCTCTGCTGGAGATGCAGTCCTCAATTTATGGGGAAACCTGCGCCCTGTGTCATTATTGAAAACAGGTACGATAGTGGGACGGTCATACGGTCATGCAGTGTTCTGTGCAAAGTCGATTGCAAACCCGCACTGACTACTTTGGCTCGGTAGTCAAACCGTTACAACTAACAACGGTAACGCAATACAGTTAATAGTTGTGTAATCGAAATGTGAACTACAAGTAAATAAGACTGACACATGCTTAACCCTCGCCGACACAAGCCATTTTGAGTCCTTCGACGGCACAAGGGGGGAGGGGGTTGGTACGACCCCCTTCGCGTTTGGCCCCCGATAGAGCTAGAGCTTCGCGGAAAAAGAACGAGCGAGTTGCCCGTCACGAGAGGCAGCCAATGATACCCAATTTTAAGGTCCTAGGTCATCGGTTGACCTTCCAGGTCAGGTCAATGACCAAAAAATCGGGAATATCGGGAGCTGTTAGAAAGTCGTTAAGTGTGGCCATGCTATGGGGTTTTCCGGGGTACTGATCACGAATATCGTGTTAGTTTTGATCAGAGATGATGTCTTTGAGCATTTAGACCAGGTCGGGTCAGGTCAGGTCAGGTCAACCGGTAGGGGTCGTGACGGGTATTCGTAGTGCCTGTCATCCGCCTCTGACAGCTTCGTAACATGTTACGAAGGCACCAAAACTACTTCGTAAATGTTCAAATGGCTGCTAAATTCGAATTCAGCTCCAAAAAACTAGTCTTGAAACACGTAAAACTCGAAAAAGTGAACCGAGTTCACCAAAGGTCAATGGTCTGACATGACCTTCAGGTGACCTTGAAACCCACCCTAATGCATGGGAGCAACATCAAATCACATGTTTGAACGTTTGAAACCACGAAAAGCCGACATACGCCGAATCGCGATTCCGGCCAAACATGGTCTCGGAAAAGAGGTCACAGGTCAAAGGTCATTTAGGTCAGGGTCATGAAGTTTTTAGGGTAGTGTAAAATTGATCAATGTGAGGGTACTGAAAGTTTCGTCGCGATCGTTTCGTCGCGATCGCCCGCTTTTTACGCGAGTTATTCGCGGAAAACTTTAGGGGGGGGTTGCATCAACTGTGCCGGCGAGGGTTAAGTTTACATAATGCAACTTCTAAGCAACCGAACCTATCCATGGCTTAGGCATAACTAAAGTATTTAGCTTTATCAGTAGTCAGTGCATACATATTGCATATATCCAAGGCTGTTTGCTCATTTCCCATGCCTAACATTTGGATGATTGGTTGCGCTCATTTCCAACTCGAATTGGTCAACAGCTTCTCTCCCTTGCACTGACAAATGACTCAGGTTGGGCTTCATTATTATTTTCCGATCAACATGTGGCTTTATTTGACGTAAAGGGAAGGCCCAGTCCACACCGATTCATATGGAAAACGTTCTTCAAGAAACCCAATCTAAATGTTCGACCAAGTACGTAGGTTGGCCTATACTTGGTACCAGCTGTTACTTGAAAGTGCACAGTGCATGACAATGACTTCTATATTGATGTTTTGCTTGCAACCTCCTATTTAGATGTGTACTGCAGCATTCAGTCATGTCCGAAAAATCATGCTATTCTCGTTTTCTTCTTAGTGATGTTTCTGATGCTAGACATCGGAAAACCCAACGGATCTATGCATGCAACTCTGCCTGCCTTAAACGTTGTCTAACCTCTCTTTCCCCAGCACTCTACACTCTCTATTCGTCTCTTTCTCTGCCTCCCAATTGTCTCTGCTCCTTCTCGCGTCGCCTGACCATTTATCTGTCCGGCCGTTTTCCAGTCTGACAGGATCATTCATTCTGGCATTGTATGGGTCCTTGACATTGTCTCTCTGGGAGGTGCGACCGCTCTTGACCGCGGCACCTTCTGACGTGGTGGGCCATTGTGGGCGCCTCTCGGCCGGTTCCAATCAGGCGCTCGTCTGCCGGCCCTATCCCCGGGCGGCACTCCATTACTGGCGGACCGACTCCATTGTCGTGTGCCGCGGCCGGCCGGCAGCGCAGATAACCGGCCGCCCAGCCCCCACCCCCGGCCTCAGCCCCCGCCCCCGCCCGCGGCGCCGTATGGTGTTTGTCAACATCAGGCGGCCCTCGATCACAGCAGCGCGCTGCCGGGCGTGCGTCCGTCAGCGGCGGCCGACGCGGTCCGTCAGCGGCCGAGACCAGAACGGTTCGTCAGCGACCGGGACCAGAACGGTCCGTCAGCGGCCGGGACCAGGACGGTCCGTCAGCGGCGGCCGACGCTCTGTCATCAGCGGCTGTCAGACACCGGTGGCGCACTGACCGATCCGCCGCGACGTCCGCCGACCGTGTAATCACCGACTCTTGTGTTAGTGGTGTTTGCATGTGTTTTTATTTTGCTTGTGAGCTTTGCTTCTTTACTGTAGTTCCTTCCTTCTCTTGTTCTCTTATTACTTGTTTCCACATTACGCATGTGTTAGCTGAATACTTATGCGCTTGCGTGGTCCGCTGCGATTTTGTAGACTAAGGTTGTGTAACGTTTGCTGGCAAAACAAGAGATTTTCTCCTCTTACTTAGCACTAGTTTCGTCAAGCCGGTGCCAACTATCGAAACCGGTTAACTGCGCCGGTAAAGCCGACTGTAGTTTTTCTGTGTATAATAGAGGCTGATGCAACGTTTAAATGGCATTGATGTATTGTGTATTGTGTATTGTGTATTGTGCCAAGCCAACCACAGACCCAGCGGCCCATTTACAGTGGCAGTCATGCCCATAAAATACAAAAAGAAACACTACATACGTCTACAAAGAACGATACATTGTCTCAGATGTAAGCCCCCTGAGAACGAGCGAAATCACGCACATCAGAATGGATGCAGTTCGACGGAGCCAACATATCTGCATTCGGGATTTTCTGTAGAAAATTGTTGCATAGCACAGGAATGCGAATGAAAAGTCCCGACTTTACAGTGTTCACTCTGCCGAATGCGACATGAAACAGTGCTGGCTGCCGAGAACGTCTGTTAGGGACCGCCAGACCAGACAGACTCAGAAGGTGAGGACAGTCGATCCGTCCATGGTGCAATCCCAAAACCAGGCGGAGATCGGCTTGAATAAAGCGCGATTTCAAAGAACACATGCCAAATCGAACAAGAAGCGTCTCATAACTCATGGGCAGGTCGCGACCGTGGGTGTTGGATGCCAGCCAAGACAAGAAGCGATGCTGCATGCGCTCGAGCTGCGCCAGATGGGTTACTGCTGCGCCACTTCACACAACGCTGCCATACTCAGCAATGGAACGAACATGGGCATTGTACGCGGCGATCAGCGCACCATGGTCAAACTTGACCCGCCGGGGACACCGAGGCAGTTGGACAGTTGGAAGTAACTAGTATTTTACATGTAAACTTGTAAACATGTAAAATACTAGTTACTTTAACAGCGATCACAGCACTACCCAGCCATCGCTTCTGGAAGGATGATGGACTGCGTCATCATTTCAATTTCATTGTCGTCACGCCGTCATTGGCAATTTTCAGGCAGCTGGCTAAAAATGGACAACAGCATCAGCCTCAGCTGGAGGCAGCTTATGGCGGACAGCCGCATTTGTTATTAAAATATCTTGTACAGCCGACTGACTGTCGGAGAGCTTTCACCATGTGAATACTGACTAAGGCATTCACATTCCGACTGTTGGCCACAGTTTGTTAGCTCCTCCTCCATAGAAGTGATAGAACTAACAAGCCAGCTCATATGCTGATCTCATCTACTGTTAGGGGAAAGTGGGGTAAGACGGTCAGGGTAGGTAAGACGGGCACCCCTTCTGCAGACCAAACCAATAGCGCTACGAGCAAGAAAAGTTAGGACCAGAATTGCCTTTCCCACTACACACCACCATTCAAGTCTGGTGAATTTGTGTTCAGTCGATAATCTTTTATTTTGATTTCTTTAAAACACTCATTTCATTGAAAACATCCATAATGTATTGTGCAAGCTTTTGTGTACAGCACTATAGAGTTAAAAACTCGCAATCACTTGTGGTACACTCATATGCCAACAGTGTTCATTTACGGCGGATTTGCTTTGTCTGCATCAAATTGTCCACAGCGAAAAATCGTGCTGAACTTCTGACATTGAGTTTGGGGTAAGACGGGCAACTATGAACCCAATGGGTCTGTAATGGTGAAAATATTTTTGTTGCTGTAGGAAAAAAGAAGCATTTCTAATAAGAATATGTTCGATTCCGATACTCACAGACATGTTAGCAATATTCCTTCGGCACAGTTTATTCTCGAATAATGAATGTGAAAAACGGTTCTACATGGCTTCTGAACTAGGGCCTATATAGGAGCATACGCCTTCTGCACGAATCTCGTATACTGCCATTTCCGAAGCACTTGAGACCAACGAGCGACTGTATAAATGCGGCTAATCTCGGGCATTTGTTGCGAGCTGCGCTGATCGGTGAAAGAAGCTGGCCGTCTTGCCCTACCCATGTGACCGTCTTACCCCATGGGGTGGGGTAAGACGGGTTTTTGCAAGGTTTTGCAAAAATAGCTGCAGTTTATTTGTTGAATCAGGTCTAAGTCTCATCTTCTGGCAAATGAAAGTAAAATGTCTGAAAAAGGTTTTCACCCAGTTTCCCGTTTCTATGATGTTTCTAACCGGCCGAAAAATGGCTCCAAAGTTAAGGTGCCCGTCTTACCCCACTTTCCCCTAGATGTACTGATACGGCTAAGCTGAAATCATTTTTCAAGCTTCTTGATTCAGGGACAGATAATGCAAGCTCCAATACCTATTTGTCTCAAAAAGCATGCTAGTGTCGCTGCAAATGCGAGATAGTCATGTTCTCGTGACGGAAGCATTTTCCCTATGAGGGTAATATGGGCTATATCTCAAAATTGCGATGTGAGAGCCGTGGGACTGAAACCATCGGCAGTCGGCACCAATCAGTATTTTTACTGACTGCGTCCTGCCATTTTCCTCTGATTTTGTGCGATACATATTGACGGATATAAGGTAGCGGTGTTTCCACGCCGATTGACCTGTGACCTCTGCCATCCGCAGGGAAGAATGACGGCACGCTCGGCGGCCACCACTACTTCATGTGCGAGCCCAAGCACGGCGTGTTCTCCAAGCTGACCAACCTGACGCGCGAGTGCATCGGCACGCCGCCTCCCGACTACGAGGAGCCGCCGCCGCCGGCCGGCTCCGGCTCGCGGCGCAACTCGCGCAGCTCTCCGGCGCGCCACGTGCCGGCCGCCAGCCGCAGCTCCCCGGCGCGCCACGTGCCGACACACGGCGGCTCACCGGCCCGCCACGTGCCCTCCATACACGTGACCGGCGGCAGTCCCGCGCACAGGAGACGCTTCTCCGAGCAAATAGGTGAGTCGCTACCGGACACACGGACCAACTCTTCGCGGCGGCGGATTTTAACAAACGTTGGGGATTTACAAAGAAATATGGATATTTTAAGACGTTTATATCCTCCTTCCAAATAAGAGAAGCGGACGTTTATTAGGTGATCTTATTACCTTCCAATCATCGTCCCTGATCAGCCAAGGATGTGAGCATGTTTATTGCTCTCCGATCGAGGTTGAGGCGTGCTCTACCGATTCCATCAAGGCACTGTGCAGTGCAGAGCACCGCTTTATTGACTCGGAAACCTGGTCGCTTGATTACGGTCCAATACGTAGCACGGCAGCCGAGCGCGCGACGGCAGGGCCTCAAGCACGGACAATGACACTCTCATCCACCGGTCATCGTCCGACTGCTGCTAGCGAGCACGGCTGCTCCACGGCTCATACAGCGGCTCAGCGCGCTTTCCGCCGTCGAGAGGGGATGAGCTGTGATTAGCCAGGGAGATACCGGACTGACCAAGCTGCCGTGGGCTCTCTCTGTGTCCGTCAGAGAAGTCACTCCGCTAAGGTCGGAGTTGAGAAACCAGCCAACTGAGAGGAGATAAGACGACGTAATATTAACCCTCGCATGTGTGCGGCATTTGCCAGCTTCTAATGTGTAGGGGGGGGGGGGGGGGTCGGTTGGACCCCTCTTGCCGTTTGGCCCCTGATTGAGCTAGAGCTTCGCGGAAAAAACGAGCGTGCTGCCCGTGACGAGAGGAAGCCGATGATACCCAATTTTAAGGTCCTAGGTCATTGGTTGACCTTCCAGGTCAGATCAATGACCCAAAGTCGGGAAAATCGGGACCTGTTAGAAAGTCGTAAAGTGTGGCTGCTAAGGGTTTTTCGGGGTGCTGATCACGAATATGGTGTTAGTTTTGATATCACAAATGATGTCTTTAAGCATTTAGACCAGGTCGGGTCAGGTCAGGTCAGGTCAACCAGTAGGGGTCGTGACGGGTATTCGTAGCACGTGTCAACCGCCTCTGGCAGCTTCGCAACATGTTACGAAGGCACCAAAACTACTTCGTAAATGTTAAAATAGTTCTAAATTCGAATTCAGCTCCAAAAACTAGCCTAGAAACATGAATAGCTCGAAGAAGTGAACCGAGGTCACCAAAGGTCAATGACCTGACCTGACCTTCAGGTGACCTTGACATCCACCCAAATGCATGGAAGCAATATCAAATCACATGTTTGAACGTTTGGAACCACGAGAAGCTTGCAAAGGCGCGACTTATGTGAGCCGACATACGCCGAATCGCGATTCCGGCCAAACATGGGTTTGAGAAATAGGTCACAGGTCAAAGGTCACTTGGGTCAGGGTCATGAAATTTTAAGAGTGCGTGTAAAATTGATCAACTCGAGGGTACTGAGAGTTTCGTTGCCATCGGCCGCTTTTTACGCGAGTTATTTGCGAAAAAACCATGGCGGGGTCCATCCGACCCCCCCCCCCCACCCTACGAGGTTGGAGAAGAGAGAGAGAGAGAGAGAGAGAGAGAGAGAGAGAGAGAGAGAGAGAGAGAGAGAGAGAGAGAGAGAGAGAGAGAGAGAGAGAGAGAGAGAGAGAGAGAGAGAGAGAGAGAGAGAGAGAGAGAGAGAGAGAGAGAGAGAGAGAGAGAGAGAGAGAGAGAGAGAGAGAGAGAGAGAGAGAGAGAGAGAGAGAGAGAGAGAGAGAGAGAGAGAGAGAGAGAGAGAGAGAGAGAGAGAGAGAGAGAGAGAGAGAGATAGATGAAAAATCCGTTATGAAGAGGAGCAAATATGGCAAATAGCAAACAATCCAACTGAGTAAAATAAGGCAAGACAAGGACCAGGTCCAGGGAGCCGCATCTGCAGCCAGATGGAGAGTTAGGTTTTATGTTCAGATGCTGAAGCCAAGGACTCTGGTCTTAAGCCATTTTTTGCATACGTAAGCTACGTTTTAGAGATTCCAGTTTACGTTATAGATACCGAAGCGTCCATACACGAAGCATAATCTGTGAAGCTGATCGGTTCCGTGAATTTGGCGGCTTTGGGTTGGCGGTCCACGGTCCAGTGCTGCAGTGCTGCAGTGCCGGCGGTGACCGCGCCGGCACAGACTGCTCGACGCCCGCTCCTCCCGCTCCAATCGATGCCCGTTGATCGGCCTGAAGCCGCTGGTAAGCCAGCCGACAGAGTGAAAAGAAAGGCCCTCCGGTCCGCTGATCCGGGCTGCAGCGACTCCTTCAAGATGAGATAAGGTACGGCTCGTGGTCCACAGCGAATAGTCCAGCACATAATCCACAGTCCCATACAGATCGCCCACACTCCACAGTTCCTCATAGATAGTTCACAACCCGGCACAGCCATCCATCAGTCTTCACCCTGCACTGACAGCCCTCGGCCCGACACACAGTCGCCAGCCCAACACTAGCCGCGTTTACATAGGGCTAGTTGCCAGATAGTGGAATTCCACTAACGAGACATTTTTTCCACTAACGAGACATTTCAGGCACCTTCAGATAATTCTGACGACCTATCCGGCCAGAAGGACCAAACCGATCGACAAAAATAAATACATCGTAGCGGATGAACACTAAAGAGGTACTTCAGGCTTAGACATAGTATAGATGTCGCAACTCGCGGCCTTCCCGGCAGTAAGGGCGAGGTATAGATGACGCTACTGCAGCAAGTCACTGGAAAGTGCGAGTCGTGGAATGGAACGAAAGTTACGGAACGGTGGCTTCTTAACTTAAGCGATTACCTGCGCGGACATTCACAACAAGTAAAAATGCGACATACAGACGGTTCATACACATACTCTAAGACGCTCCCCATCACATCCGGTGTGTATCAGGGCGGTTCCCTCAGCTGTTTGCTATTCGCCATTTTCGCCAATGATATGTGCCTGCATGTTCCTGAAGTCAGCATTGTTCAGTTCGCAGATGATACGCAGATTTTAGTGACCGGCAAAAAAACGAATCTGAGTCAATTAATATCGAAGATGGAACGTGCACTATCAAAGCTGTTTGACTGGTTCTGCGCTAATGATATGAAGGTGAATGCGACAAAAAGCCAGATGATAGTGTTTGGCACCCGCCAGATGCTGCGAGATATGCCTCCCGTGAGCATCCGGTTCGCTGGGACTATTATGCACGAGTCCGAAACTGTGAATAATCTAGGCGTTGTGATGGACAAGCACTTAACTTTCCATAGTCATGTGAACCATGTCGTCTCAAAGTGTACCGGATCACTCCTGGCCTTAAACCACGCGAGGCATGTATTACCAACACTGACCATGAAACCAATCGTGACCTCGTTAGTAGTATCAACTCTGCGTTACTGCCTTTCCGTGTATGGCACCTGCGGAGCTATAGAGCGGCGTCGACTGCAGAAAGTGCTGAACTTCTGCGCTCGTGTGATAAGTGGCCGACGGAGGCGAGACCATGTATCCGACGTGTTGCGCAGCTTAAGATGGTTGACGGCTGACAACCTGGTATTGTACCACAGGGTGTGCGGTGTACGACGCATTGTCGAGTCCGGCCACCCAAGCGAGATCGCGAGCACGTTGGTCACCGCTGCCGGCCATGGCCACGACACGCGGAATGCCGGCCGACTACGTCTCCCGCGAATACGTACCGAGGCGGGTAGGAGACAACTGGTGTACGGGGGCGTGGACGAGTACAACCAGTTTTGTGAAATTTATGACGGCCGAACATCTTTTAAATATGCGCTCAGAAGATTTTTACTTCTGAAGCAGGCAGCATAACAATTTATCACTGACACTGACATGGCAACTGTCCTGCGATGTTTTGTACGAATGTATGTGTGTATGCTCATTTATCTATAACTACTCGTTTTTATGTTATATGACACTGCGTTAATGAAAAGCCGCGAAAGCGGATTAGCGTGAATAAATGAACTGAAAAACTGAACTGAACTAACGGAAGCTTATTCGTTTTATTTTCATTTTTAAGAATTGATTTCGTGCGCTAGGTTAAGAACATTGTCTTCTTTTTTCATACGTCTCCACCCCCCCCCCCGTCCCTTCCATCCTTTGGATCAGCCAGTGTGCAGCAAGAGGGTTCATCGGAGAAAAGCGGCAAAGAGCAATCCTCCCTGAGCCTGTCAGGTCAGAAATAACCTGAGCATAGGCGGCGGAACGGGGAGGGCACCGGGGCACCGTGCCCCCCTTTGATTTCGGCCTGCATGGAAAGAATGGGACCAAAAGTCGGCGCTGCCCCCCTTAATTGAAGGTGCTCCGCGGCTACTGAACCTGAGAACCGTTCGTTATGCCCTACTGCCCACGCTTCTTAAAATTTCAGTAGTAGTCAGTTATCTGGCCAATGTTTCCGTATAGGGGTTGGCAAACACAACTGAGCCTCGTGAGTGGGATGAGTACTGGACACAGAAGTGGACAATCTGTTGGCAAGAAGCCCGCAAGGATAATATCTCGAAACTCAGGACTACGTATACAAACACTTTAAATGCATCTAAATCTATAATCGAAAGCCGCATTGTTGTGAACTACCGGCACGTGCGTCCAATCACCATCAAGAACGGAAGTCCGACCTACAGCAAGCACGACAGTCCGATCATAGATGTATTGAAAAATAACTAGCAACTTTAAACATCGCCTTCCTCAGTCACGCTCTACACCGCATCACATAAGAAAACCGCCAATATCGATTACAAAACACACATAAAGGAATTCCGTAGGTATAGATCAGAGGAATACTTCACCTCCTTTATCTGGCGCGTCAATAGGTATAAAGTAATCTTTGGCGTCTACGCACTAGCAACATCTATAATGCAAACAGCAGTTCAGAAACCATCCACTAAAATTGTAACAAGACAAGGGTTGGTCAAAATAAATTATAGTCATCGTGATAAATAGCAAACGAAATACAGAACAAGCACAACAAAGCATTCCACACTCGTTTAGACTGTACAATATGCCTACATAAGACATTGCAGCAGTGTACAAGGAAAACATTCTTTAAAGATGCTAACGTGGGGAGTTTTAAAAGTTTGGTGAACACAGTTACGACTTACGAGTCACTGCACAAAAAATGTAGCGCGGTCGCCAGCCGCCCCAGGCGAAAGAGTCGACGGAGACGGCGTCAAACAAACCCGAGAGGGGGTAGTTTCATCCGCATCAGCGGAGAAGCTCTCTCTACCAAGGTCGTCAGTTACCAGCCGCCTGCCGCAGCACCCTGCTGGCGATTTGATAGCTGCTCTCATTCTCAGCTGGCTGAGCGCCATGTGCCGGGTCATCCGGCTCCATGATTTCCCCTTTCATTAGCAGCTGCTGTTGTAGTTATTGTTGTTGCGTTCCTTTCAGCCGCTGCCGCAGCATAGCCGTACGGTTCTGGATGGTTCTCACGGCGGCAGCCAGGGTCAGGGTCACCAAATCGCGCAGCGTCGCGCGCGCGCCTGCCGTGGCGCGCCTGTCGCGCGCGCGCGCCTGCCTTGCAGATAGTGCCACGTCGATCGGCGCTACCGTTGGGACAGACGGCGGTCGACCCATATCGACCGGTACCATCCGTCCGGCCAGCTCCTCCAACACCGCTCTTAGGGCGAATAGCTGTTGTTGTTGTTGTTGGTGTTCCCCTCAGGGCCGGCTGGGGCCGGCCTGTAACCCCGTGAGGGACTCCTTGTGGCGGAGGTAGCCGGCGGCCAAGGCCGCCACCAGCTCGCCGTCCTTCAGCTGCTCTGGTCGGATGTGGATGTTGCCCGTCAGTCGCAGGCGGGCGCCGGCCAGGCACGGGCACCTGAGCAACACATGCTCCGGGGTGTCGGCGCCCTCTCTGCACACGATGCAGCGGGCTGCGGGGCACGCCTTGAGGTTGCACTGCTGGCAGGTCGGGATGGGGTGCCGCCCGATACGGTGCAGATACTGCTCCGAGCAACCCCAGTGCCCGGCCCGCAGCTGGTGGACGTTGACGGCGGCATCCCGGTCGAGGTTGTTGAGCGGAGCCGGCATACGGTCCCGCATGATGTCCTTGAAGAAGCTGGACGGCCATTCCTGCCGCCAGCGGTGGGAGGCGCAGCGTGCGACGGCCTTCGTTAGCGTCCTCACGTCTGTTGCTGCTGCCTCCTGGGGTAGGCCGGAGGCCTCCTTGGCCAGCTCATCGGCCCTCTCATTTTCCCGCAGGCCGCAGTGCGCCGGGACCCACTGGAGGCGGATCGGTGACCCTCGGCTGGAGAGAGCGAGTAGGTCCTCCCAGATGGAGATCCCTAGGTGAGTCGTCTGGGAGGAGGCGCCGCTCTCCAGCATCCTCAGGGCGGCCTGGGAGTCGGTGCAGATGACTATTGGGTCGTCTGCGATGTCGGCGTCGGCGTCTCGGATGGCGTTCAGGGCCGCCTTCAGGGCACACAGCTCTGCCCGCGTACTGGAGCAGAGCTGGCCCGCTGGGACTCGGACCTCCCGAGTCTCTCCCGACGGGAAGGTGATGGTGGCACCGCCCCCGCCTTGGGAGACGCCTCCCTCCGCCGAGCCGTCCGACCATATCAAGGTGGCGCGGGGCGGCAGATGTTCCAATGTGGCCTCTGCCGCTCCCCTCCGTATGTGCGCAGGGGCCGCTCTCTGGCCGCCGGGGCCGACGTCCAGGCAGAACGTCACGGCTTCTCCATGGTGGTCCCACGGTGGGATAGTCTTTGTAGGGCGTCCTTCCACTTTGACGTCGGCCGCGCCTATCCAAGCCAGGGCGCGGTGGCCGACGTCACGCCATCCGGTGGTCGTCCTCAGGCGGGGCGCGACGTGCATCTCCCCGACGGCGTGGAGCGGGTCGTCGCCGGGCAGCGAGGCGGCCAGGCCCACCATGCGGGCGGCCAGCGCCGGGCATCGTACTCGCGCCGGCGGGATGCCGGCCTCGGCCATCAGCGGCGCGGTCGGGGTCGAGGCCGTGCAGCCAGTGACCGCACGGGCCGCCGCTCGCAGCTCCCGCTCGATCAGCTCGACGTGAGCTTCAGACGCCGCCGGGAGCCACGCTGCTGCCGCGTACTCCAGGGCGCCCCGAACGTATCCGTTGGCAACGGTCCGTAGTTGCGCCTCCTGGAGGCCCCAGCTGCGACCGGTCAGCTTCCTCAGCTGAGTCGTCCTGGGCTTCACTTTCCGGCGCAGGTTCTTGCAGTGTTCCCCGAAGTGGAGGAGTCTGTCGAAGGTGACTCCTAGGAGTCTCAGGTGCGGGGATCCTTTGACCGATGTTCCGGCCACCTTGATCTAGGGCGAATAGCTCGCCGCGCGTGCTAGAGCAGAGGGCGCCTGCCGCGACACGCACCTCTCGGATGTCGCGGTTCGGGGGGGGGGGGGGTGGCCCCTCCTCCTCCATCTAGCACACCATCGGTGGCGGAGCTGTCTGACCAGATCAAGCTCGCCTCAGACGGGAGCTCCGCCAGACGACTTTCCGCCGCCTTGGCTCGCCAGCCGTCGCGCCCAAACTCGCTTCAAACCGTGAGTCTATAGCCAGCGCGGCGGCGTGGCTTCGCCATGGTAGCCTTGGGCGGGTTGTCCTCAGAGAACGCGTTCGCATTGGCGAGGAGGCGAGCAGCGCCACGAGTCCTGAAATGACCAAACAACATCAATAGACAATCAAAATTGTGAAAATCGGCATTAACTGCGCAACTGATATTTGCTTGTTTGTTTATTTGGGTTTACGGGCGCTGCGGTGGTCATTTTGCACCCATGACGCTGTTCTGGTGAACCTGCACAACTGAGCAGTGATCATGCCTTAACTTATGGTTGGCGTAGTGGCAGGGTTCCACCTAAAATTTCGGCGCACGTCAGCTGTAACGTCACATGCGCCAAATTCAGCGCATGTCAGTTGGGCAAACTAAGGCTGCTGGAATAATATAAAACGAGGGCACCAAAAATTGATCCTAAATGACCATACTTGGACATTAATGCAGACCCTCTCTGTATCACCAATTGTCAGAAAACAAGCGGGTGTTTCAAGGAGCGTTAGAGAGTCATGAAGCCAGGATAAAACACAGTGCTATTTTCTCAAAGCAGCTTTTACATGATAGAGTTAGGTAACTCTCTCTCTCCCTCTCCCTCTCTCTCTCTCTCTCCCTCTCCCCTCTCTCTCTCTCTCTCTCTCTCTCTCTCTCTCTCTCTCTCTCCCTCTCCCTCTCCCTCTCCCTCTCCCTCTCCCTCTCCCTCTTGGAGGTTGAAGGTTAGTAGGGAAGGTAAGGTCAGGAAAATTTCTGCTTTTTATTTTTCATTGGACTTCAGTCTTCATCAACACATGCATCAAAAATATCATCTGTTTGAGCATCTTCAAGCCTCAATATAAAACAAGGTGTACCACAACAAATTAAAAATTTATGTCATGCCAATATATGGTCATGATTTTTACCACCAGAATTGAATTGAATAAATGCCTATTGATGCCTTACCTAATATTTTGATGCCTGAAATCTGATTAACCAAGCATTTTTTCTTGTGTTGGCAGTCTAAAATTTGGCTGGCTTGAGCACGATGCTATTGCTCTAGCAGAATGTCAAACGGATGTCTACCAAGTGCCACTCCCAAGAAAGTTTTTCAAGATTCTAAAACCACAAACTTTGTTGATGCCTGATCGTGTGATGGTTAATCAAATGATAGCACTCCATCTGAGGCCAGTTTTACAAACAGAAAATAGCCACCTGCCGGATTATTTTGCCTAAAGGCTAATTCACATATGGAGCGTAAATGGTGAAGTCCTCCCTGCTTACATGACAATCGCGTTTACTCTCTGTATGTTGTACCTACGTGGAATGGATATATAAGGAGAACAATTCCAGGCAGCTATTTTTGTTGGTAAATCGGGTAAAGTAAAACTGGCCTCTGAATGAAAATTTGAACGGAGTGAGATCTGTCGGCTCTTTGGTGGTTTGAATAGGAGTTGATGATTTTAATTGAAAGATTAAAAGGAAAGGGTTTCAAGACAATCGGCATGACAAACCAACACCTTACCTGCAGTTCAAGTTTGTCGATTTCTTCATCAAAATCTAGTCTTCGTCTAGTCCACAAATCAAGATAAAATTACTGGATAGGTACAACTTCTTCTTATTCTTCTTCTGCACCTCACCCGCCGCCCCATACTCTATCCCTTATTCTGATAAATATATTTACATAATTTTCACGAGAATGCCACTCAATGGGGATAGAGCTAAAAAAGTCCAGGGCTTAAATTTTGAGCTATAGACTATAGAGTTCTCAGTGATTTTGAGACACCCAATATGTCTTCGGCACGCCGCATTTGTCTCTCACTGCCTGCGAATTCGGCGATATGATTGGTCGAAGGCCGAGGCTATGGGTCCAAGAAAAGGCCAAGATTCCTGCCAAGATTCTTACAGATAGCCAAGGCCGATGACTGACGTGACTAGAGGTGGCAAAATGTGGACCCGAGGACCCGGTCCCAAGAACCAGTCTGGACCCATATGGGTCCAGACCGGTTCCTGGAACTTTTCTGACGGGTCCAACCGGGTCCTTCCATAAACTATACATATTGCACACTACATGATTATTGCAAAATATTAAGTGAATGAAGTGAATGTTTCTTTGCACACAATAGCTCGTGAGTATTCCCAGTGGGAAATAGGCTGTTTTACTTGATGCAACTAATGATACCTACAAGTAGTTTGTATTAATTGACTTTTGGGGAACGGGTCCAACTGGTTCCGATTCCAACTAAGACCGGGTCTGACTGGTTCCAGAAATGTCCAGCCGGGTCTGGTTCGAGTCTGGTTCCCAAAATTTTCATCTTTTGCCACCTCTAGACGTGACTGACGGCATGTTACTGCCCTTGGCATATTGCCAATGCACTGCTCGGTCATATCGGCAGTAATGTCAACAGTCATATCGGAAGTAATATGGTAGCTAAACGCAAAAACCATTTGGCGTATAGCTACCATACTTTTCCGATAACGAGACATTCTAGATCAATTTCTCTACTGTTGGCGACATCTGCTGAGAAATCCCAAGACCGAACGCAAGCACATAAAAGTAATGCACTCTAAGGATGAGTTCGAAATCTGGGAAGTGACGGATTTCATTCCTCAATGCCTGTCCCAGTCTTCCCCAATCCCCATGCTGTTCGTTCCGCCATCTATTGCCATGTTTCGCATTCGCACTTCATGAATTGACCACCCCGCCAAGTAGGTTGGTATCAAGTTGGTATAGGTGTCGCATTGCTCTGGTCGATCAGGCTGAGCCGACTGTCTGGAGAGTGGAGCCGATCCAAAAAACGCAGAAATTGAAAAGACCGACTCCAAAGCAATGGCAGCATGCATATCAAAAGAGCGTAATTCTGTCATGATTGCGTCAGAAGCAAACATAATGGCAAGAGTTTCTTGTGTTTCGGTAGGCGCGTGTGGAGCCGCTGGACCGACCGGGGACGTACCCAAGGGGGGACGGACGAGGTGCGCCTCCCCCTAGGGGGTTTCAAGACCCATGCTGGTAGAAGGCCCACGTTGGCCAAAATCACGTCGGAGACGAACGAAATTCATGGGAATCCCCCCCAAAAATCACGTCAGGACAATCAAGGCTCTCCGACTCGCCTGCCACCTACTATGAACGTCAAACCCCTTGAGACCCCACTTTTTTGCGATCGTGTCGGGACGCGGCCGGCCGGCCGCGGACCATTTTCAGAAGTGGCGGGTAGACCGTGCGTCGAGTACTTGCTTTCTCGCGCGGCGGTATTGGGGTTCACTAGCATTGTTTAAAATATTTTCATTTGCCATGAACTTGAAATTATACACTGTAATTAACGATCATTTGTCAATTATTACAAGTTCTTCAAAATTCTTCTTTGAAAGCAAATGATTTCATTTCACTCAAGAATTGTCTTGTCCACCACTACAACCGCCACCCAGCCGCCATCCATTGGAAGAGATAGGCTCTGCGGCACAAAGTGTCGTTTTAAACTGGACTGGGAACCAATGTGTGATGACATTTCGAGCTAAATTTATGCTCATTGTGTACCTAGAAGCATTGGGAACAACGCTCTGACTGTACATTTTTAGATTTTTGCCTCTAAATGAAAATATTTACAATCAAGTACTTTGCGAGCGCAGTTTAGAAGCTCCCGTAATGTTAAAGTCCTATCTCCTACAAGTATGTAAATACTGCTCTAGGGAACCAACAGTTTGCATCGTACTAGCTTTAAATTATATCCATATTGTTCCCAGTACTTTGCTGAACACTGTGGTGAGTGTACATTTTTCGTTTTTTGCTTTACAAGCGTAAAATTCGTCTGGTTCTACACCACTGCATTCGCCTCCATAGCCCGGTAACGGCGCCGCGCGGCGCGGCCGGCCGGCGCCCGCTGTAGTTCCAAACACTGCCCGATAGATGGCAGGCGCAGAAGTGGTCCCAGCCGTCCCGGTACGTAATTTTTAAATGCGTCAACTTTCGTTGACAATATTCTGGCAATGTATGTTTCAGAACCTGCCGAAACTTTTATTACTAAGGTATTTTGACGCCAAACGATTATGGAAGGTACTTCTCATTCACTCGTAATGCTAAGGTCAATTCAGGCCCGGGCAGAGGCTTGCGCTCGGCCACACTCGAGCCCCGCCACCAGCGCCATCTGCTCTAAATGCCATCTACCAGCGCCCGCTACCGCTACCAGCTACCACCCACCATCAAGCCTGAATGGAGCGAGAGACGCGAGTGACCGGTCGCCGGGCAAGGAGCGCCGGAGGGGTAGGGCGGAGCTTAGCGCTGACGTCATTGCGTGGCTCCGCCCCATGAGCGCGTAGCCTCTACCCAAACAGCAGATTCGTTCCGTGAAATTTAACATTACGAGTGAATGAGAAGTACCTTTCATAATCGTTTGGCGTCAAAATACCTTAGTAATAAAAGTTTCGGCAGGTTCTAAAACACACATTGCCAGAATATTGTCAACGAGAGTTGACGCATTTAAAAATTATCGCAAAAAAGTGGGGCCTCAAGGGGTTTGACGTCCATAGTAGGGTCCTTCAATTTACTACATGGGGCCTCCTGTGAATAGCCGCTAGTGTCTGTGTCTGACCACTAGGGCCCCTCTGACTCCTCGGGTAGAGGGCCCTCTGTAGGTAGGAGGCTCTCTCTACGGGATTCCTCCGCTCCCCCCCTCGGCCAAATTCTAGGTTATACGTGCCTGCGCTTAGCCGGGGTCGGAGGGAGGAGTTGACGACCGAATGACAAGGAGTACTCGTCCTGAAAGTAAACATTTGGAATACCAACAATCCAAAGCTGTTCAGTATATTTATATCATTCGAGAGCAGTGCCTTCAATTTGGATACACTTAACATTCATTTCCCACACCCGTGTACACTCCACGAAGGCTTCTCCGCTGCGGACTACCGCTTCCGCCGATGCGTCAGTTCATACCCTGATGGCTTGCTGGGGAGGGTGGCCAAGTGTCGCTGTGCCGCCAGGTGTAGTTCATCAGCCGAGGCGTCGCGCTGCAGTGTCCCGATGTCCAGCCTGAAGGTGAAGTCTGGGAAGGCGACCACCTCCCACGGCGGCGCGCTGGCATGCAACCAGAGGATCGAGCCGCAGGGCGATGCCAGCCGCTCGCCAGGTTTCGTGCCCCACCCCACGCCAGCCCGTCACCGATTTCAGTCGGCTGGGCATCTTCCGCGATAGTCCTGAGGGCTTGCCCTCGGGGAGCGCGTGCGCCTTGGCGAAGAGCTTCGCTACCAGCACGTCTCGCCGGGCGGCCAGCGGGCACCGGCATCAGTCCGGACTTCACCGTGCGTCAGTGCGTCAGTCCGGACTTCTGCGTGGGCTGGGATAAACAAGGGGCAGCCGGTGATATACGGGTCACCGCCCGCATCTCCCTCTGGAGGAGTTCCACGTGGGATTGTGGCGTCACCGGGAGCCAGGTGGCGGCCGCGTGCACCAGCACTCCACGGACGTATCCAGACGCTACAGCGCAGAGCTGTCGTTCCTCTAGTCCCCAGCCCGGCGCTGTCAGCTTGCGAAGCTGCTGGATCCGGGGCGCACTCGGGAGCGGAGACTGCGACAATGGGCCCCGAAGTGAGGAGCCGGTTGAGGGGGTGGCTCCGAGTAGTTTGAGACGGTCGGCTGCTGGAACCGATTTTCCGTCGACTTTGATGGGGCAGTCCACGGCGTCCGCGGCGCTCTAGGAGACGACGAGCAGCTGCGTATTTCACCCGCTACCAGCGGGTGAAACCAGGAAACCAGGAGCCCAGCGCACCACAGCGTCCGTCGCCTGCTGCGTCCGGCCCCAGCTCAGCGTCGTCTGTTTCCATTAACACTCTGAAATGACAAAACAATTAGCAATTAAAATCAAAGTTCAACCCCGACCAAGTTTAATCCAACTTGCCACTTCAGCATAACACAGTGAGCTGTCAGAATGCTGTTCTTTTGTGCTTTGACACAGTTGCAAAATAGTTACCTTCATGCGTATACCATAGTAGTAATTACTGGTTATTATTATTGGGGGAATTTTTGGCAGCAGTCTCGTGAAATTATATACTATCTTCTTTAAAATGACTATAGTTTTGCATTAACATCTTCGAGAAGCAGTGGTGGTATATGCTGTTCTGCGCTCAACATCGGTCACATTTTTAAAATACCAAATAACTGCTTTCCAATGACTACGAATGAACAGTGTAGGCCACGGGAAATAATAAAAAGTGTAATATCTGAAAAAACGGTGAATATCTTTCAATTGAAATTAATGTACACCAGTAGACATTCCTTTTTTGATCACTCTGATCCATTAAACAGCACTTGTATGCCAATTCATTAACTTTTGAAGGTGGGGGGTCTCTTTAGGGCGTTCAGGCTGCTCAATAGTATCTACACGCTTTCTGCTAATGTACTGTACATCCCAAGCACCGCGCATCGGTGCGGTGGATCCATCAAGCCCGATCGACGAAAGGCTGCTAAAATTTGAGTCACTGAACCAAAGTGAGCCTTTATCCATCCCCAGGTCACCTGGTCCGGCTACTCTCAAATCAAGCAGCCTTTCCTCAGTCGGGCTTGATAAATCCACCGCACCGATACGGCGGTACATTTAAAGACGGGAGTCGTCACAGTCGCCGAGGGCGCCGACGCCAAGCTCTACTGCCTCGTCACGGGCCATCCGCCGATAGTCCAGTGGCTCGAGGTGCGCGGCGCTG